GGCTCACTTTTTATAAGATGACTGAAAATTTTACTTGAATTCCTATTCTTACTTTTGGAAACCTAATTGTTTTATCGTTATTATTATTATTATTATTATTTCTGTTGTTTCTAGAAGTAATAATTTTCATAATAGTCAATCGAAAAAATATAACCACAGACACATTGTTTGTCCACAGAATAATTACACATTGTTAAATAAAAAGCGTCCCCGCATGAACCTCTACCTCCGCCAGCAGGACCTCAATTTCAGACTCAGTAAAGTTTTTTTTTTCTTTGTGCTTGTCATTCTCAAGCACAGAAATTCGGATATTGGCGTGTGATCTTTTATATGGTAATGATATTAATTAGGGGGCGTTTACAAGGCGGAGATCTGACACCAGTCAGCTACGCACAATTTCAAGATTATTTGCGATTTATAAATGTCACATCTGGAAGAGAGGCGTACGCACGTGTTTTTGTGCGCACGTTCGTTTTCTCTGAATTGCACTTACGCACTTTTGAGAAATGATCTTAGAACAAATTTAGGATGGTTTTTACGCAACATTTTATAAATGAGGCCCCTCGTGTCTGTTTTTTGTCTCTAGCAGTCACAAATATTATGTCTCTTTTAGAGCTCTGTTTCATAACAAGACAGAGGTCTGGGAGGAAATAGAGGCAAAAATTAATGCTGAAAATGATGTTCCCATCCTTAAGACATCTAATAAGGTACATTCATTTCAATGTAATTTCCAAAGACCAAACATTCATTTCAGAGATGTTTCTATATTTTTGTAACATATTTTTCTCACTTCGCAAGCAGGAAATCTCATCTATTCTCCAAGAACTGCGAAGAGTCCAGAGACAACTTGAAGGTGAGTTTATTAGCATTAGATTTTTACCTTTGACCATGTATACTATACATTCTGGTCCTTCCCTACAGTATATCCATTGGTATTTTATCTTTGTCATACCACAGTGATCAACACTATTGTTGAACCTGGAGGAATCCTCAAGATTCACCCAATGGGAACTTCTCCCGGGGGAAAGACCAAATCTGCTTCCAAGGAGTTTAGCAGCCCCACTTCTGCTAATGCCAATGCAAGTGCAAAGCGAGGTCCCAGGGGGCCCGAGGGAGGACGATATGTAGTATAAGCTTGCCTTCAACAAGGGCATAGCCATTAGCTTGCTTTGCAAAAACAAAACACAATCATGTCAATCATGTACTGCACATCTCTTTGGAAACTGCCATATTCGTGGCACATTTGTAAAAGTATTGTGATACTATTAGTGGTGCAAATATGCGGCATATGCTTTCTCAAAGACTGCGGACACACTTCACAAGCTAAAGCAGGTGTAAACATTGTTCTTTTCAACAGTTGTAATCTGTGGCTTGTTTGAATGATTATGCCAAGTTGTCGTTCATGATTGAGTGAATGAGTGGGTGTGTCACTGTATTCCTGTACCATATCTGTTGTGGACTCATTGATTGAAAACCATGTAGTATTCAGTCCGTGTTCATTATCAGTCATGCAGTGCACTTGGCTGCTACAAAGCTTCATCATTAAAAAAATTGAGTGAATACACAATACTAAATAAGTGCTTGCCTTTAACAGGGACATAGCCATTAGCTTGCTTTGCAGAAAAAAAGATTCATGAGCTGTTTTAAATATAATGCTATCAAAGATAAGAATCAAATATTGGTGCTTGAATATGGCTACTGTTGAATTCCCAGACATAGCAAGTTAAAATGTTGTTAAAAAGTAAGCAACTTTTGGCATAGATTGTTTCATTTTGTAATTTTGTTTTGCAACTACACCACATATGGCTGGGGTGTCGGGTGTTTGTTTACGCGTGTAAGCGAGTGCTAGATTATGTAGAATCATGTGTGATGCTGTGAAGTATTGTTGCTGTGTGTTACAGGTGAAAACTTGAAAAACAGGTTACCTTCACCCTGCCCCTATATATTATGCTTTTATGATTGTATGCAACAAAATGATTGTTTTTAATTTAGGATGGCATAAAACTATTGGAGGAAACAAAAAGCAGCTGGATGTAAAAGGCTATTCCCCTCTTGTTTGCATTAGCCATGTATTCTTTAAATGCCATATACTCTTATGTATTTGTGATTTTGAATGTTTTAAAAGCATCAAAACAATGTTAAGATATCTTTTAAAAGAGAATGAAATCCAAAACAATATCACACAAATATTTAATTTAGAAAATTACACATATATTAGCAGGGTAAGACAGGGTAAGATACCCCTTGAGGCAAGATGATTTTTCTCTTGGCCATAGATGCCACAAAATGTCATCTCAACACAATTGATAAATGGCTATGCTCTTCTTAAAATTAGACTACCTAAAATTATATCTTTGGAATAAGACGCCCCTCCCACAATTGGCCTCAAGCAGCGTGTTGTTTTTAATTTAATACATGGATACATTTAATTTCATAAACAATGTTTATTAATTCCATGAATTCAATGTACACTTCAGAGATCTTCACTTTTCATTAAAACCTTTAGGCTGAGTGAAATCATTCAGTTTGAATTTATAGTGTTGCTGTAATGACATATCTTCAAATAAAATATGGGCAACAAAATATGTAAATATTCATATGCTGTATAATGTAGTAAATGCACATTGTTCTTAAGGGTGGCATCTTACCCATCTCACCCTAACAATTTTAGCTTGAGACTGGCCAGTATAGAATTATTATGACATCCAGTACCTTCTGATGACAACAATGTGAATGTGTAGTGAACCATACAAATTACATACAAGAACACCTTTCTGTCTACCAGGGTCCCATCAACACATTAAATTATTTAGTAAACGACATGTTAGGATTGTAATTGTTTTGTGTCTGTAATTGTGATCTTCCATTACAGCATTTTTTTTTACCATTTAATGTTAAAAGTCTTTGCAATCCTGGTGTTGAGGTAATGTTTCTAAATATCTGCACTAAGAAATGATTGTATACAGCACTAGTTTTATGATTTTGCAGCTCACCATCAAACAGTTTGCTTTAGTTTTGGCTGTGTGTTATGGATGGTTTGATGTACAGTATGTATCAAATGCAAATGAGATAATTATTTTGGAATTATTGCATGTGTGCCATATGTAATGTAGGTGAGCCAAAGCTAGGACTTGTGTACAGCTGTGTGTGTGTTCGCTTATAGAACAGTACTGCAGCAAGTTGATGAACAACTAACATTTATAAAGCCTAGTAATTGCACACAAGGCGCAATTGTATGTTTTGTGCTGGAGTACTTATGCTCTCCTTATGTATTTCTAAATTTACTCTAAATTTACTCTGTCACCCACACACAATACAAGGCCTGTAAATACATTGCCAGCGTTGAATGTTTCATTTATATTCAGTGTTTTATTCATGTTCTTGGATATTAATCTGAAAACACAAATTTACATTTACATTTAGTCATTTAGCAGCTGCTTTTATCCAAAGAGACTTACAAATGAGGACAATAAAAGCAGTCAAAACTAACAAAAGAGCAACAATATATAAGTGCAAATGACAAGTCTCAGTTAGCCTAACGCAGTACACGTAGCAAGGTGTATATATATATATATATATATATATATATATATATATATTATACACACACGCACACAAAGAAAAACAAGTAGATAGAATAGAAAAAATAGAAAGCTAGTGTGTTTTTTTTTTAAATAAAAAGAAAAATAAAGAAAAAAAGATCTGAGGTTTGTAATTTTATTAATGAAGAATGTGGCAAAGTCATCAGCTGTTAGAATTTAAGGATCATTACTTGGGCATTTTGTTAAATTATTCTCAATGGCTTTGCCCTGTGGCAACTGCAATTATCTTGTGATGACCAGTTCCACAAATGTTCCACACTTTTCATCTAATTTGTAATACATTTATTTTAAGCTATATTAATAGCTGGTGCTATTACTGTAATAGTAAAACCTGTAATAGTACTGTAAAACCTCTTTTACACAAGTACTTTAGTGCAGGAAATATATTTGAGATGAAAATATGTACAAAATCGCTTTGCAATTTTGAAGATTTGCAGTTAAGTACAATAGAGTGTGCGATGGGGGAGAATTAAACACACAGGTCCAACAATGCATTATTTTCATTTATCCAAATAGTGGATAGTGAATCCATTATTTTCAAGTCCACAACCTTTCTTGTTAACACTTTTGTAAGTCTGTTGTTGACAGCATACAATTGAGTTCTTAAAAGCTATAATCTGTAATTGTAGCAATCCCAAATGAAGACCAGGGGCCTCATTTATTAAATGTAATAAACTGTATAAACTTTGCTTAAGTGACTATTTTGAACAAGTATTAACTTAGTTATTAAAAAAAAAAACAGCTAATGTATTTGTATGAAAAATGCCACCTCATACATTTCTAAGATGTTTAAATAAACTACTTTTATGATTTATTTTCACACAAAATGCTCTATCACATTCCTTCATTATTAATTCTTTGTTTTTTCTGCAGTCGTACACTATTGGAGTAGTGAAAAGCAAATTTTTCTCAAGGTGTGCCTGTACCCTAAGCACATTTCAGAAATAATCTTTTCTGAAACATTTCATAAATGGAGACTACTGTGGAGATCCTGTTCTACAATTAATGGCTAGGATGATGTATATTTTTTTCTTTAGTACTTCAAATGTAAGTATTAAAAAATAATAGAATGTATTTTAATCGAATAGTTTCAAACTAAAGTTCTTCTTAAATATATCTCTTTACCAGATCCCATCAGAAGACATCTAAACAGATGCAAAGATGTCTGGTATGCAAATGTCATTCAAGTCTTGTCTGATACCCAAAATCAGTTAATAAAACTGTATTAACAGTTCTGTATTAAACTGTATTCTAACAAGAGGATGACAGATACATAAAAGGAGTCATAAATATTGCTGGATTGACTATATAAGATTTGTATTAAGATAAAACAACTTTGATTTTGAGGCCTAAAGACCACAGTCAATTACATGGGACATAAAAAAATATGTGCAAGTCTGCAAGTTGAATTTTCTTTGGTTTTATTAGGGAGTGAATTTTCACTTTCACAAGTATTTATTGATGCATTTGTAATAAGTCAGATAGATATGGAAATTTATAGAATCTTAATAAATATCAGACACACACAGTGATCAATGAGAGATCTGTTATCACGGGCTGCTAAACCAACAGTGTTTCAAATGCTAAAACATGTAGGGTTAATATTTGTCTTGTAACTGTGACATTCCCCAAAACCTGATGTTAAATCTGATTTGTTGTGAAGATCACAACAAATCTTAAAATAAGCTTAAGTAACATCACTGGTGTAAGCTTAAAAAAAAATCATTAAAATCTTCATCTTTTTAAACATTTGGATCTAGTCTCCGGACAAAAGGCATCTATGCCTATATCCATTAATCAAAGACTAGGTTTAAGTACAAAGGGGAAAAAAAAATTGTTCCATGCGTGACATTTACTAAAAAACTTTAAAATGTCTTTAAACGTTAAAAGTAAAATAAAACAAATGTTTTCAAATGGTCTGTTACATTTAGAGTCTAGACAAATTATGCTACTCTGCTAGGGCTTGTTTTGTAGTATAGACTAGACTTTATCTCTTGCTAAAGAAATCCTTAGCTCAAATATGACATTAATTGAAATACCTTACCCAAAATGTAAATATTTATAAACAAGAATGTCATTTATGTAAAATGACTACCAAATACATATCTACTATATCAAATATGTAAATGGTATAACAGAAAGAATGAATGTACAACAAAAACTGTACAACAATATTTACACTTTCTCCCTGACATTTAGACCATTAAAATCCACAGGTTTCTCAATATCAGCAGGCCACATGATCATACAGTGTCCAAAATACCATAAAATAGCATAGACAATGTAAAGAATATTAGTTTTGAGGTTTAAATTTGCCAGATGACTTATTTGGCTACAGCATGATATATGCTGACCATACTGTACACATTTGTCTTCAGTGGTGAAGACATAAAAGATGAGAGAAATTAAAGAAGCAAGTATTTCATTTCAGCCAACAATTTTCTACAACTTTTGAAACGTACAATAGATGTACCATAAAACAAGTGATTTTTATCTTATGTTTTGGAATTTTTCTCTGAGATTCTTGACAACACTGTGTTGACTAGAATCAGCCTTTTTCCCAGAATCCAGTGCATTTTTAACAGCATTGTCTAAGTGTTCACTATAGGATGAAGCTTTCTCAGTTTTTTGGCACCTGTCAATCTTAGGTAACTGTTCTGGCTTAGATCCTCCATCTTCCCTCAAACGGTATTCCTCTGACTCCTGATATGCCCGACAGCGGTCAATGACAGCCATGATTGAGATCTTCTCATGAGATGTTGGCGAACGAATTAGGACGTAGCTGTCATCTGTTACATCTGTTGTTATTTCCTGTTTCTTGCACTCTTGTGTTGACTGGTCCATCTCTACTGGTGGTGTAACCTCAGGTACTTTCTCAACCACAATTATATTCTTCTCATTTGGAAGGGTAGCTTGAGCGGAGATATAGAAGCCACTGCTGGCATTTTTACTCTGAAGACTCTGCAGATCACTCAAGTACAAACTACCCAATTTTTGGTCCAGAGAACCTGCACGCTGGGTCCGAGTCAGCAATTCTCCTGTATCCCTTCCTGGATAAAACTTGTAAACTGAAGAGTCTGTGGAGCCATTAGAGGTGACTAAGCGGCTAGAAGAGCAGCTAGAACGTCTTTTAGAGCTGCCGTCAAACATCCTTTCTTCCACAGAACGACTTTGGCCTACTGGTGGCGGAGCAGACGAGCTACCGAGGTGTGCATATTTTGAGCAAAGTTCACGGACGTCCGGCCAGTTGAAGCTCTCAGGTGTTGGACTAAGAGGACTCCTGGAATGGGACAGGTGTGGGGACAAAGCCTTTGGGTTACTGACAGAATTAGAAGTGTGCTCTGGGCTGGGAGTCATAACCTGGGCCTTCTGGTCTCCGTCATAATCAGGCTGATCATATGGAGCCATGGAGAGCATCAAGTCTGCTTTAACTGTTAATCACAAAATAGCAAATGTAAGTGGAGCTTACAAAATTATAAGATAATTTTATGTTATTATACTGTATACAAAATATTAAAAACGTAATCTCATGAAGGAGAATTTCTGCAACTAATTTATATCAAAACTGACACAAGCAGAGCTTAAAGTTTTATCAGCCATGTCCCAGTTACTTATACTGTAGTTAGCGCCATTGAGGCATTGAACACTAACTTGTCGCAATCCAATCAATCAATGTTAAAATATGTTTTGTTATGGAAGTAAAATTAGTTGAAAATGCACACACTATGTTTCACACTATTTAACTTTTTTTTTTATGAAGATATAATAGTCAAATAGCATCCATCTTACCTTTGGCCTCTTTCTCTGGCTTTTCTTCTACCACCGAAAACAGGTTCCTCTTGGCCAACCATGTATCTCCTGACTCCTGACTCCTCTGTCTCAACATTGGTTGTGTGCACTTGATGCGTTGACTGTATTTCCTTGCAAGATGGAAAACTTTGTTTTGGGATGAATCTGCGTCTTCTGCTGACTGAGCTACTGTGTCTTTCTCATCTTCAGTTTCTGCTCTCAACTGGATAACTCGGGGAGCTAGAGCTCTCAGGGGTCTCCCTTCAACCTCCCATTGTCTGGGTCTGATGGCATCATTCTCACTGGCTGCACGGTTTTCCTTCTCCTTAAAAGCTAATGGTGTAGAGGACTCCTCTCTGATAGTGCTCAGATCTGAATCTTCAAACATAATCAGTCCATCACTGCCTTTGGATTCTTGCTTTCTTCTCTGGTTTGGATCCTTCCTGGAGAGGCTGGGACTGGTCCCTTTAAAATAAGGAATTTCTCTGGGCCTCAGTGCTTTGAGGTCCCCTTGACATCTAGTGACCTCTTTTTCCATATCTTGCCAGACTTTGATCATCTCATAGGAGGGACGGAAAACCTCTTCCTCATGACTCCCATCTATCGACTGAGGTTTAATGGAACCATCTACATCAGAGTCAAACAGGGCTCCGTTTCTGTCATGCCTAGAGAAATCTGTGGAAGCGGCGATAGCCGGTTGTTCCAGGGTAGCTGGATTTGCATTGGTCTCTGACAGAACCGATGTAACCAAAAGAGATTCTGTGAGTGAGTTATGAGCTGTTACAGGTCCAGATGTACTGGTGGTCTTCTCTAGGGCAAGGTCTTTATCTTTAGGAATGCTGTTAAAACGACTAACTGAATTTCTAACAAGCCCACTTGGAATGTAAGTGAGGCTCTCTCTACGCTTTAGGCTAAATGTAGCATCCTGGTGTTCTGCATTCTCATAGTAGCTCCTAATCTTGTCAATGAGTAGTCGGGCTTGCCTGGAAAGCACTGAATCCCTTCTTCTGTAGATGCTTCGATCCGAGTCAAAAAGACTGTTCTCCCCTGATGACCCGATCATGAAGTCTGCTGATGCAAGGGCTTCCTGGGTCAGTGGAACTCCATGTGACTCAGAGCAGGTGCTAGCAAGGCGATGTTGGCGCTCATGGGCATCTCCTAGACTTACAGTGCTCCCGGTCCTGCTGGGAAGATGTGGAGATACGCAACCGAGGGAGCGCATTTCCTCTGTGCTGACGCTACTACGCCGCGCATTACACACAAAGTGTTCAGCAATGGCACTGGCCTTATCAAGCACAGATGATGGTAGGATGCTAGTGGAGTCTGGTTTCTCTTCTACATCCTCCTCTTCCTCTGAAGAATCACCAGGTGTGTCTTCCTGCCGTAACTGAGATGAGGCCTCTTCTTTAGAACCTTTCTGATCATCTTTGTCTCTTGCAGACTCCAGATCCTGGATATCTGGGACCTGTTTTTCCATCTCTTTGGACTCTGGATCACAAAACACATCTGGCTTCAATTTCTCAGTGGAACCCCAGCAAGAGGTTGTTTCCAGGTTTTGTGATTTGTCCTTGAGAGTGTAAGAAGGGGAAATCAAGATATAGTTATAAGCTAATTTAATTGATCGCTGGGTTTGTTTCAAATACAGCTGGGTATTGCCAACCACATCAAGATACAACACATATGTCAAAGTTCAAAACATTGGTTAGGTAACCTGTTACTTACTAAAGCAACTTACAATCAGCAAGTAGAATTTTAGTCCTAGGTGTAAAGTACTAATACTAATACAATTTTGCTAACATAACAAATGAAACAATTTTAATTAAACAACTAACCTGTTCTGAGATATATTTTTCATCCTTGAGATATGCCTCCACCTGTTCAACTGATGGGCCATTTTCTCCTTTAAAATTGTTCCCAGTGTCCTCACACCCCCTTTCCTCCTAACATAAAAACATGTTTTTTAGGGATGTTTGACTAAACAATTAATTTTTTCAATAAATATTTACAGTGTTATATAAGCAATACAGCTAAAGTACAGCTACTAAAATAGTAAAACAATTATTCAGACATCCAGATTAAGTTAAAGTTAGAGTCATTAGCAAGCCCAGATGAAATCAGACTTTTTCCATGCTGATTTTGGGAAGAAAATGTGTATTCTTTTATTTATTTATTTATTGTTTGTTTGTTAAACAAAATGACAACATATTTTTTACAAAATATTTTACATAATTATTACAAACGTGTTAATGTTCAAAATCTGGAGCTTTCTGAGTAATTCTGTGCACACATATTCCATCTGGACTTGGTTGTTAGTTAAAAATAAAAGTAAATAATAGTCAAAATAACAGATCATAATAGTTTCAAACAGTTATGTTAATGCAGTGAATAGAACAACTGCTATTACATGCACATCTTAGTTAAAATCACCATTGAACATTTGAAACAATGTTATGTTAACTGGGGTATGATATGGAAAGTGAATGTTCACCACGTCCTAACCAGACACAACGCAATGTAGCGATATGCAAAAAAAGTGATCTCATCCATTTTAAAGATTATTTTCCCCCTAACCAACAGTTTTTTTTTAGCGCTTGCTTATTTTCATGACTTTTTCATTGGAGAGCCACGTACACACACAAATCTCACAGAACCTGAATTACTACTCCTCATGCATATTAAATATTATATGACAAATCCCTTAATTCCATATGGAAAGCCATGAAAAGGATGCCTTCTAGTAAAGCCTCACATTAGTCATAATATAGTCAAGGAACATGTTCTTTAGCTGTACATTCCTCAGTTGCAGTGCGTTATTCTGTAAATATCATAGTTCTTGCAAACAGACAGAACAGTTCTGTGTCACATCACACCCCATTTGCATGTTGAGTGTGCATAGACAAATTGTTTGTTGCTAGACTCTTGTTATATCAAGCATGGTTAGACATAATGTTGCTACCAGTGGAGGCTCCAGGAAATTTTTAATGTGGCCAGAGTTTTGCATGCATGCAAAATAAAATAAAGAGTTAACCTGCAATTATTTCAAGGATCTAGTTCTACTTAATCTATCCCATACGATTTTTTTTCCTTTGCTGTTTGGTCACATTAAATATTTTTGAGTTGGACAACATCATTTATTGGTTATATGTCACCACAAAAAGCACATTATGTTACTTGAAAAAAATAGAGCTAATAAATAAATAAATAAAAGTTAAGATCGTTCTTAAATTAAACTGTTTGTATTTGGAAGATGCACATCATAAAAATAAATAAATAAATAAAACAGCTTTTATCTTTATAGTTACAGAGAGATAAACAGTTTGGATTGAACTGGGGAGACCATAATCAAAATGCATTGCTTTTACAAGAGAAATAAAAAATGGTAAAATATGTTGCATACATGCTTGTGAGTTTTGTAGCTTGTTCAATTCAAAGTGATCCTCCTATGAACATGCAGTACAATTAAAGTTGCTTGTGCGAGTAAAGTGGAAGTGGAGTATGAAAGGAAATTCGAAATAAACTATTTGATCCATGTTTGATAATATATGTAGGCCTGAAAATATTACATTAATATCAAATGTAAACAATGGCGCCACTGGGTGTCAGGTATCAGAATGGAGACAGAAGGCTGGAGGAGAAGATACTAGGAATTTATGATGTCAGCCAAAAATTTAATTTGTTAGGGACAGAGCAAGTTAATCAATTTTGATTACAGATGACAAACTTTTGCTGGATTCAAAAATTAAATACTTAAGTGTCAGTTTTGTTTTTTGATGTTCTTAAAAATTTGAGAATCAACATCTGAACATCTCTAATATTGAGGACCAAACCTGCAGAAATTAAAAAAATAAAAAATAAATAAATAATTAAATAATTAAATGTAATAACAGGAAAATAAAGAAATAAATGACTTGATAAAAACAAATATAGTTCATCCGGAATTTATTTTTAAATTACCTTTTTCCTTTATGTATTATTTTCTGTATTTATTTTACATGTATTTTTATTCTTTTTAACTTTTATTTACTCATACTTTCATTCATTTTTATATTTATTTATTTATAAATGTATTTATTCATGTGTTTATATGTATTTATTCCCACATGCATTTATTTCCATATTTATTTATTATTTTTACACTACAAGCCAAATGCCTGCTTTTCAATAAAGCTATTATTGCTGATTTGAATAAAAAAACCTGTAACAATAAAAAAGAGTGAACATTTATCATTAACGATCATAACCGTTGCTAGATGTCAACAAAGTGACATTCAGCAATACAGTGAGAAAATTAATGAAGTAATATACAGTATATGCGTTGTGTGTTGAACTGTAACAAGTTTGTTACAATTTGTTTAGTTCTTCTAGCATTGCTGGATGCTCTACAAAGTTAGCTTCTGCTTATGCTTTGTGAGCTGTTAGTGAATTGAGGCATTCTGTGAGAGCACATGCAACATGGCGGGAGGTTTGGCAGACATGCAGGTCATGTTGGGGTATGACAGAATCCCCTTGGTGGCAGAGGACCTCACCGTTGTGAAGTCCATGGAAAGCAAAGCTCTGGCTCTATAGTGCCAGCAGGAAATGGCAGCCAACATTGAACTGGCAAAGTCAGCTACCTGGTTGTCCTCCATTAGAATATCGTCAGAGTCACTTCCCTCCCCTTCTGCTTCATCCCCATTCTCTTGCATCAATCTGGCCTTTAGAGACGGCGAGGCACGGATGGGTTCCTCATTATCACTGGGAATCAGGGCTTCAGGAGAGTATTCGTCTTGTGCAACAGGCTTCTCAGCTGAAGACTCGCATAAGCCAAGAGTGCTATCGGCTATCAAGTCAACGGCCAATGCCCCCTCACTGTCAGAATGCTGGGGCATGAAGTCACAAAGATTTCTTCTTAGGAGATATAAGGACATGACCCAAACCAAGAAAAAAAGAATATTTCTTTGGAAAAAGAATTTCCTTTTGGGTATAAAGGTGCCCTACTTCTCACAAGCTGTTGACATCACTCTAAAAACAGAGGGGGATAGTAACGTGCTACATTTTACTTTGATACATCTACTTAAGTAACTTTTTTAAAAATGTACTTTTTGAAGTAAGTTCAATGATGGGTACATCTCACTCGAGTACAAATTTCTAATGACAAAAATGTACTTTGACTTTAAGGCGCATTCACATCGAGATCGATAATGTTCTTTAAGTATCTTAAAGCAGGGTTAAATTCTGATTGACCATCACTGTTTTTATCACTCATCAGCTTCAAATAATTCTGAAGGTTATTCCATTGATATCGTTCCTCCTTGTTGTTATTGTTCCCCATTTTCATAGAATTAAAAAAATTCTTAAAACTACTTTAGGTATTGTAATAGTTATTGTCCTTGGTGTGAACAGACCTTTACATTGGGCAACTGTACTCTCTATGTTCCAATATTTTGACACCATTTCTCACGCATGCACAGAGAAACATCCTTTATGCCAAACATGTAACCGACTTCACCATGATCACTTCATCATCATCTTGCTTGCTCCTAATCAGATCCTAAGTAACTATCTAGTAACTCACTACCTGACAGTGGCGGCTCGTCGGGGGAGGCAGGGGAGGCACGGTTTCCCCATAATTTTGAGGTGAAAATGGGAGGACAATTTAATGTTAATAAAATTCACTTAATTAAATGGCACAACAGGCAGCTCTCTTGTAACACAGACTTTTAAGAAGGGATGGATGTTTGCTTCAAGTGATAGGCCAGGTAAGTGAAATTATATTATCTTGCTGTATGTCGTTTTCTTTACGTTTTCTGACTAAAAGCAACCAAAAAGCCATTTTAAAGTGGTTAAGCAAATAATAGTAATAATAATAATAATCGGCAGGGATCCCAGACCAATACAATTAGTGTGCCTCCTCTGTTTTAAAACCCACGAGTCGCCACTGCCACCCGAGTAGTCTTTTCATTGGAAACTCTTTTTTACTTTTACCTAGTCATTGTAAACATTATTACTTTTACTACTTCTTGAGCGTTTTATTTTATTTGTCAGTATTTGTACTTTTACACACCCGTCTTCAACATTTCAACAATCTTGCGGACCACAAAGTAAACAACACATCAAATAAAAAGAGCATAATTTGTACACTTCTGCTTGTGTGGTTTCTAGCATTCGTTGTGTTTTTTATATACTGTCTTTGTGGTTTTGTATAACCACATCTAACTGAATTCTAAATGTTCCTTTGGTTGATTTAACGGCGTCTTACCTTTAGTATTACTGAAGAATTCACCCAGACATCAGCCAGATAAAAGAAAGAGAATATTAGTAAATTTGAAGCCATTTTTATCAACAGTGTTTATAACTTTGTTGCAAACAATTTCAGTGAAATATGTGAAATACAAATGGTATAAAGTAGGGTCCAGGAACATAACGTAACATTACTTCTTTTCTTTTCAAATACCAAAATGTAAGCACATTTGTGACATTAGCCATACTTTGTAGAATTTCTGGCTTTCATTTAAGCACAATATGCTTGGAACATTCTCAAATAATGCTTTAAAGAACATGGATTTTCAGGTTTGAATTTTTTTTTTTTGAGCCACTTGAGTGCCACATTCATTAAAGAAAAAGAGAGACAAAGCAAAAACAGACATTCAGTTTTTTTTGGGTTAATTTTTTCAGTTAAACATTCTGCTTAAATTAAAGTTAATAATACAATTTAAAGGGGTGGTTCACTGGTTTTTTTCTAGGCTTGATTGTGTTTATGGGGTGCAGTCTAACGTGTTAATGCCTCGTTTAAAAAAAAACACATTCTTTTTCACATAATTTACCTTTATGTACAGCAACTGCACGCACGTTCATGTTTAATGCTTCTCATAGCTATGTGAAAATAAGTGTATAATTGGAAAAGTTCATTGTCGGAGCTGAGCTGAATGAGAGAGAGAGCGTGTGAAGAGCAGGGGAACGCGAGGAATAGTATTAAGAACGAGAGAGAGAGAGCGTGTGCAGAGCAGGGGAACGCGAGGAACAGTATTAAGAACCGCTGCTTTAGAACATTGATTTTGAAACTTGTGAATCCATTAGAATCATTAGAAGACAGAATCACGATTCATATATGAACAGATTTTTACGTGCACCTCTAGTTTTCTCTTCCTCTTCTCTAAAGCAGCGCAGCATGGCATCGCCCCCTTTGCTGCCTTTTCCCAGGGGCGGGGTTTATCTGGGTTTGTGATGTCACGAACCCAGGAAGTAACTTGTTGTAGTCCCTACCAGCCGTTTTTGTAGGCATTAAACTGCCAGAATTTTAAAAGACAATATCTCCGTTTGCATTGAACTTTCAGCTTCGTAACTTTGCAGATATTGTTTATGCTCAAACAGCAACATTACACACTAACTAACGTTAAAAAAGTGAAATCGCAATGAACCACCCCTTTAAATGTCTTACTACACAAGATAAATAGACACATTTTCACTAGTGTCTGATCCCACTGTATCATTATTACATGCCAGCAGCTAACACGCATGATCTTTTTATTTAAATATAGGACAATATCTTTACTTAAAGTTAGAACAGAATGGACACATGGAGATTTACCTTCAGTGTTCTTTAGGATCTCTTTAGATGGTTCTGTTGGAAGATGAAGTAGAAAACCATCTTTGTAAAATTGGAAAGTTTCAATTAAAAAAAGATAAGTTAAGACCAAGACTTAGATTGGGAACCTACCTGATTGTCTCCGGCCTTGTCTAGAGTTAGAAAACTCCTCTGACTGGCATGACACAGACTTTTTGAGCTTCTCAGGACTGTACCTATACTTTTTGTCTGAAAAAAAAGTTGTCCATCAAAACAGGCCCATGACATTTTTTTTCATATTAAAAAAAGAAAAATGGTATGAAATTATATTCATGAGTGGTTAGAAATATTTACAAATAGAATCCATCTCCAAGATTGCTTCCTTTGCCTAAAAGAGAAACACAAAATAATTATCTGTCCAAAATAATTTTAGATATTTTAAATACAAAACCTAGTAAGGTTTTTTTTTTTTTTTTTAATTCATTGCATACCTTTTGTGGTATCACAGCCTGATGGTTCTCTAGAATGAGCCGTTTAATATGATGAGCCCATAATTTTTTTTCCTCCACCGTCCTAGCCTAGTGAAAATACGATTCACATCATTTCAGGAGTTGTATAAACATAAAAACAATAAGAAAATAATATTTTTTTTTATTATTATTTACTCAAACCCATATGCTTTTATTTTTTTCTGTGAAACATAGGAGGAGCTCCATTTTAAAGAATTTTCATACAGTGACAGCTCATAGTGAGCATGAGCTTTCAAGATCCAACAAGAACAACATGATAGTAGTCCATCCAACACAATATGTGTGGTTATTTTAAGTCTTCTAAAGCCAAAGGATAGCTTTGTTTTATGAACAGCAAAATAATTTTTTTGCACTCCAATCAAATATGGCATCAATAATACACAATGTTGAATGTCAACAGCAATAAATATCACTGGATCTGAAATGTCTTTAAACTAAACATTACAATGTTTTATCATTGATCTAAGAGCTGCAGTGAAGGTGGACATTTGATATATGACAGATAACTTCGAAGAGTCCTTTTAGGGCAAGAGCTGCATAAAGATTCTTTAAAGTCCCCCTGCAGTCACTAATTTTATTCCTTAAAACTCATCTTTGATAATCAAAATGAGATATTTAATGTTTTTGCCGTGTAAATAATTTTTCATGCCTTAAAATGGCTTGAATATAACACTATACCCTTAACTAATTTAGTATATGTGGAGTCATGAATATGTGCATTAATTTAATCACACCAGCTCAGACTACCTGCTCCATTTTTACTTGGTTAACTGAAGTAGTAAATGCTACAAAGTGGCAATATTAATCCGTTTTGAAAGATTAATCTGTTGAATAAATGAATTAATTCCGAAGAAGAAGAGGAAGAGTGAATTATACAGGGCTGTCTACAAGGTGATATCAGAATGGTAATAATAATAATACATTTATTTTGTACAGCAATTTTAAAAATAACTTTGTCAAAGTGCTTTGCACAACAATGTAAAACATTACAGTTTAAATATAACGAACAAAAAAAATTACAAAAAAGAACAGATAATCAAGTAAAAGCTATTCTAAAATAAAATGTTTTAAGATGAGATTTAAAAATGCCTAATGAATTTGCATTCCTAATGGCAGCCGGGTGAGAATTCCACAGTTTTGGAGCATAGGATAAAAAGGCCCTATCATTCCTCAAGCAAAGTTGTGTTTTAGGAAAAACTATAAAGCCACAGTGAGAGAATCTCAAGTTATGAATTGGTCTGAAAGGCGTTAAAAGTTTGGCCAAATATTGTGGAGCCAGATCATGCAAATCCTTGTATGTCAGCATAAGGATATTGAAATCTATACCTGACAGGAAGCCAATGAAACAATAGGGGTTATATGGTCACCAACCATGGCCCCTGATGGGATTCCAGCTGCTGAGTTTTTTTAAATTATTATTATTATAATATATATATATTTTTTACAAATATTGTCATTTATTAAGGGAGGATTTAGAAACACCAATAAGGATAACATAACAGTAGTCAATGTGCAAGAAAACAAAAGTTAATCAACCTTTCAGCAACAGAAAAGGACAGCATAGGCAATAAATGTGCATTATTTCTATGAAAGAAGGAGGTCTTAACAGTGTACAAAAGCTTAAATGACAGGCTGGCATCAAAGAGGACTCCAATATATATTTTTTTGTTTTCTTTGTAACTCAAAGGCAACACCATCAACTGACAAAGCTATAGAGCCAGCAGTACGCAGCTGATGGGGAGAGCCAAAAAGCATTTTAACAGAAAATTATTAGGCATCCATATCCATAATCTCAAAAATACAGTTGAAAAGATGAGAAACGTCCACAAATTGACCTTGTTTTTGAATGTATATACACTGAACAAAATTATATGGACACGAAAGGTGCCCTCTAGAACCAATTCTCCATATGTAGTCAGATCAGGTCCCTTCCAGTTTATGAGCAGAGACTGGACCTCCTGAGATAGATTATGGAGGTACTGAGATCATGAATTGGTTAATATCTTCACTAAACATGGCTGAGCACATAAACAAGAGCAGTGAAACATGCTCATAACACAACTTCTTTGTGTGTTTGCGAGCTCACCTGAAGACGGACTGCATGTTCATGTTTTCTCTTCATGTCGTTTATATACCACGCAACACCAGTCATAGTGTAAATGGCCTCCTCCACCACCTCATAACCCTCCTCCTCTGGATCAAAGTGCTTGGCAATCTCCTACAATATAAAAAACATCCAAATAAATCCAAAATTGTTTATTGCATAAAAGCAACAAAAATGGCAATCATGAAATCAACCATGATATTCTTTTAACATTACCTTAAACTGTAAAGGCCCAACAATATTCACAATAATTTACATTACAGGCTAACTAAAAAAAAAAATGTAAATGCATTAGCATAAATATGATTTCTTCCCAAGTATCACACTCTATTACCAAGTGACCAATGGATTTCCATCAAAATAGTGTAGAGCAGTGGTTCTCAATCTTTTTGACTCCAAGGCCCCCCGTTGTCCACAACAATATTTGAAGGCCCCAAGACTTTTCCAGTTGTTTGTGATTTACTGGACAAAGAATTAAGGGGATTCCCTCATATATGCATATAAGTCTTTGGGAATCCTGGTTCCTCTATTAAAAACAGTTGTTGAGGGGGGTAAAATAAATAATAACTATATCTTGATTTTTATTATTTTATCTTTTTAATTTGAATGGTTGTTTTGTCTCATTTTACATAATTTTAAGTCATATTTAAACCAATTGGAAGTTTACTGAGGCCCCCTAGTGGGCCCCACTAGAATCACTGCTGTAGTTTGATTAAATGCACAGCCTTTGATGTCAACAACAAACAAGGATGGCAATGTTTTTCCCTTTTAAAAAGATGAAAAAAATTGCTATCCACAATTATACAAATGCACATTCATATGGTTATTTTACATTTGAATAATGTGCATTTAGTATTTTTACCCTAGTAACACAGACCTGTGATCTGTTTTGCTTGAGAACCGATGATATAGCTCTTTCCCCTTAACTCTTTCAATAAATATCTTGCAAATGCACACGAATGTATACAAGATTGAGAAAGAAAAAATAAAACAATTTCCAAATGCAAAAAAATGTGTTTGCCTGACGAAGGTCTTTGACCGAAACGTTGCTATTTTTAATTTTTTTGAATGAAGGGAGAATAACAGTGTGCAGATCTTTTTTCTAATATTTGATGTACCTTTTGATCTTGCACCTGGCCAAGACTTTTTTTGGATGTGTGACCCTTCCAAATGCAAAAAACTATCATAGCCCAACAAAAATGATCATGCATGATAATGGAAGCATTGCTCACGGTAGGTGATTTGAAGCCTTTGCTACTCTCTAAAGCATTATCCTGAGAGTGGTTGTCTAACCTGTAGTAAAAGATGATATTTGAGGATCCTCTGGACAGGCTTGAGAAGGTAAGATCCCAGAGGCAGGGATCGCTTTAAAGCAGCTTGCCTCTCCCTGAAGAACTTGGCAAGAGTTTTGTTTCTCATGCAGTCTGTTAGAGCAGCCACAGAGCTATGGAGAGAGTATGAACAGTCAAAACAGCACAGCACACCACACTAACAAATATGTCATTATACAAACTGATGATAACAATAACTCTCTGATAATTCATTAATCATCAAAGTTTACAAAGGAAATACATAATGCTCCAAACAGAAATAGCACCTACAGTAAGACCTATCACTCATGTGCAGAGGCACTAGTGACTATTGATTGGTGGTCGACTTGTATTAACGATGACATCTACATCCATCTAAAACTGTACACATATCACATAATACACATAACTCTTGATTGTTTTTAAACTGCATAACGATTTTATGTCTGTGCTTGATTTTACTATATGTTTTGTCTGTAGATTGTTTTGTAACTATGTACTGCTGCTATGGCAAAATAATTCTATGTAATGCATTTTACTGTCCCCATACATTGGTTCAGTAATATGTCTGGTATTGACCCTGAATTTGTCTGCTTGTTCGGGTATTAAAAACCTTATTGGTCATGAATTATTTGACCAACCACTGCATTAATATTAGTTATTGAATTGAAAAACACTTATAGTTTTGATGCAGTTTAACGACGTTTGATGAATATTATATGCATTAAAGTGTGAATCTCATAAATCCTGTCAAGAAATGTGCAGGTAATATTTTAACTCCCCCCAAATTAGACAGAAACCAAAGGTGCTTTTCTTTGGTGCACATCAATCTGACCATCTAGCCAGAGGCTCTTCATCATAATATGTCACTTTGAGCATTCAGTGCCACTTACTTTGGGTAGTTGGTGCAATATTGTGTGTAGATGTCAAAATATTCACGCTAAAAACAGAGAGGAAAACCATAGTCAGTAAAGTGTTTCTCAACAACACCCAATCACATCACACAATGCAAATATTCAGCTGCAATGAGCCTCATTTACATAATTCGATTTGGAAATCACCATACACTGTAATTACGGCACTGTTTTTCTGGAGCTTAAGTATTTTGAAGTTGTTTTCAAGTAAAGATGTTAAAGAACTTACTGAATAAACATAAACACTCATCATTACAGATATACAGTGGGTACGGAAAGTATTCAGACCCCCTTAAATTTTTCACTCTTTGTTATATTGCAGCCATTTGCTAAAATCATTTAAGTTAATTTTTTTTCCTCATTAATTGACTGTTCTTGAATGGCCCAGCCAGAGCCCTGACTTAAACACAATTGAGCATCTCTGGAGAGACCTAAAAATGGCTGTCCACCAACGTTTACCATCCAACCTGACAGAACTGGAGAGGATCTGCAAGGAGGAATGGCAGAGGATCCCCAAATCCAGGTGTGAAAAACTTGTTGCATCTTTCCCAAAAAGACTCATGGCTGTATTAGATCAAAAGGGTGCTTCTACTAAATACTGAGCAAAGGGTCTGAATACTTAGGACCATGTGATATTTCAGTTTTTCTTTTTTAATAAATCTGCAAAAATGTCAACGATTCTGTGTTTTTCTGTCAGTATGGGGTGCTGTGTGTACATTAATGAGGAAAAAAAATTAACTTAAATGATTTTAGCAAATGGCTGCAATATAACAAAGAGTGAAAAATTTAAGGGGGTCTGAATACTTTCCGTACCCACTGTATTTCCTGTTTAGTTTCATAAACATATTATTTGAATATGATCAGATCTAAAGCCTTGAAAGGCACTGGGGTCAGCTTGAACTTCACCTTGATCACAAAGCATCTGGCAATGGCCACAGGATCATTGTCACACATGTCCAGTGATTGAAGGAGCTCACTAAAAGTAAAGAGAAAGCATGTTTACAGACCACAAAACATTTACTGTAACTAATGTAAACTACTGTAAAACACCACATGCTCTGCACACTTCTGTAAAGAAAAACAGCCCCATTAAGGCCATTATAGCGTTAAGCTTGCAAAAGGCCTTGTGATACAGAATTAACAGCACATGCAGTCTGCAAGTCAGTCATCCTTCTGTGGTCAGTGAAAAAAAAATGAACGTCTCTTACCACTCTTTGTCCATGCGTGTGATTAATAAAGCAATGCCTTGATGGAACACCTTAAATCTCTTTAATTGTATTAAAATAAAATCACTTTAATGAACAGCAGCAAGTGGCTTATTCCTTTTAAAAACTAACATGAAAAAATACACTATTGCATAAATGATTACATGTACAAATAATAATCACTATCTCTTTAAACTAAAACTTTTTTTTTTTTGGTGATTTGAAATTTGAAATTGCAAACAACAAATAATTGGATGGCAATATTTTTAAAAGTAAGAATACTTGATTGTTAGATTCACTGTAATATCTTTAATTTTAACTGACAGCATTTGCTTCGCCACTGTTATAAGAAATCTGAATCTCCTGTCCATTAAGTGTAGTTCAATCCATGTTTAAATGGATTTGAAAGCAAAACTCAGGGCTTAGATGACCACAGCAAACCCCACAGCATACAGAAGTCTACACTTTCTGTGTCATGCATTTGTGACATACCACAAACAGAAATATGGCAATTATTCACTCACTTACTGTATGGTGTTGAGGAGAAAAGTATCTCTCTGCAGTAAGACCAACACCTAACAACAGGTGAGCGGACAATGTTCAAAAACAATATATTGATGATTGGTTAGATGGGAAAAGGTGAAGAACCCTGTGTGTTCAAGGCTCCATGAAACCTTTTTAAGGAACAGCATGAGGGGAAAAAAAAAACTTTAAAAAGTTAAAAGCTCTAATCTAGAGTCACAGCTTTAAGCCACCTATATGCTACTGATTACCTAACATTATAAGATATAAGTAGTAACAGATATAAGTAGATTTTTGTCCACACAATTGTTCTTTAGAATGAGAATGTCCCTCTGCCTAACAAATCATAGTTTATGTACCAAAACACAAAAAAGAAAAGTGCACCTCAAGTCTTTAATGTTTTAGTCTCCCTTTAACAATGGCAAGGTAATGTGTTTGGTTTTCAGGAAACGGACATACTGGCTAAATGAGTGGACTGCAATTCACTTTTAATTAAAGCATCTAACAAATTTATATGCAAATGTAAATTTAAATTTGAAAAAGATTCATGAAAAATTACATGAGAGAATTTATAAATTCTTAACATACTGTAAGCATAAGCTTATTCGGACAGTTTAGTAGTTTCTCTCTTCTCTTTTCCTCTTTCATATCATGTTAAAGCAGGGAGTGTGCTCGAACAAAAAGGACTCTTTGTACATGTGAGTATGAAGGCACATGCGTAACAAATGTGAAAAAAGCTACAAAAATAGATATCAACCCAGGGCTCTACAGTACCATTTCAGTCACATTCTGCAACTGAAAATTACTGTGCGACTGTAAAAAAAGAAAATAAAAAAATTAGGCAAGTGTTCTGAAGTGCATGAATAGTTGCATGACAAATGCAAAATTAACATTCGCCAAAGCAGCAAATGAGACTAAAAATTGCAAAGGTATCAATTTAATTATGTACATTTATAGTCTGGTGTGCAGCGTGACACTGTGTTCATTCACACGTGAGCAGCTCATGATTTGTTGTGTTTTCAGTGTCTCATTAGCAGTGTCTCAGCTCGGTTCCCAGTAAAAGGTGCTTTACATGAACTCCATCTATGTAAGCACCGTGAGATTTGGTCACTTATATGACATGCTGAAGGTTTCCCCTGTTCTCACTGGTTCTCTGGCAATATACGTTTTTACTCTGCACTCACTGACATGGAGTTTGGTAATAATACATTATTGTTTTTTTTTTTATAGTCATATTGAATAGATTCCATAAAACCAACAGTTTAAGTGTGTCCTTAAACAACTGAAGTGGAGAAAGAAATTAGAAAAAAAGGTTAATTGTAACATTCTCTTCTTGTGCAGCTTTTATACACAAGCACAGCAAACCTGAACTTCTTTAAAGAAAATTAAAAAAGGAAAAAGAAATATATTTTATTTTTTATAAGTGAAATCACAATTTGGTTTTCCCAAATAGTTAAACTCTCAGCAAGCCCTGTTTTTGTAATGCAAATAAAATCAGTAAAAACTCCCAAAATGCCTTTTATGGTACATTCACATGGTGCGAGGGCATCGACGCTTAATGGAGGGCATGCTTGGTGCTGATGCGACTGTCAGAGTGACAACAGCCAATCACATTCGTTTTCTGGTGTTGCATGAACGTGATTGGCTAGCACCAGGGTATTTGCATAAGGTGATCTTATTGGCTGACGCCTGCATTGGTGCTTGAAAAGTTTTCAACTTTAACTCGATGCAACAGACTCACAATTCAGTTCGGCAATGCTTGACGTCACTCCATTCAAAGTAAACGAGAAGCGTTGACGCTGACGCCCCTTGTGAATGTACCGTTACTGTTACTGTGAAAAATTGCTTTTACTGTTATATAAGATTTCTATGGAGCTTATAATATGACAAAAATAAAAAAAAATATTGAATTTGATGTTCCGAATTTCCTCTCCATCTTGAAAACTTGAAGCTGTATTTTTAAAAACTGGATATTTGCAGGCTAAGATTTCAGAACTAAAAATTCGCTGTTTGAAAATACATGTCTTTAAAACTCTGCCATGAAAACATCCAGTTGTGTTAAATTTCAAATGTTTAATATTCAAGTAAAAAAAAACTAAGTTAGAACTATGTTAAATGACACATAATATTCAGTTTTGTTAAATGACACTTGTAAATAATTCAAATTTACACAATACAATTTCAATTAGTTTTGTCATAGTATAAACTCCATAGATTTCAGTCATTCCGCCCACCCAAATTAGGGAGTTGATGAGTCAATCTTTTAGTAGACCAAAGACATAAACATTTTGTGTGGACTATTCATCAATAAATACCTGTCAGGAACAGCTATTCATCATTCTTTTAATATTCTGTTAATTAACTTTTTTATTTACTTAATTTAATCATCAGCATTTAAGTGACAACTACAAAACGGTAAAAAAAAAAATCCTTCTTTGGTGTGGGCTCTAATAACAGCTATATTTCAGACAAGATAGCTTGTTACAGCTATCTTTCAACCTTTAGTCACCATTGTTATTAAATAAGAAATTAAAATAACATTATAATGTCTTCAAATTAAGATTGTTCTTTATATAGAAAACCTATGCATTCCAGTGTCTGCATGCATCAATAAATGACTGGTGCTGGTTTTAGTTTTGTTGGGCTTCAAAAACAAGCTAATAATGAATGATTTCTTACCTGTTAAACTCATAAATGTCCTCTATGTTTCCAAACAGAGCACACACCTGTTCTGGCTTGATGGGAAGATCTCCTGTATCTATAATGTGAGCAAGGTAATCCTGCAAAGAGAAAATCAATCTTGAATACTCTTAACTTGCATAAAACTGCAGACTTTTGAAAGACATTTTTTTTTTAAGATTATCACAAAAGTTGCACACTATATTGGTAAGCATATCAATGTGCATCAGCCAATATTTGCATTTTTAACAGGCAATGACTGAAATTATGTCTTTTAAACTCAAACAGCACAAAAGTGCCAAAATATTTTCTAAATATTTTTAAATATTTACTCTATCATTCTGTGTCAACTCTATGGAAGCTCGTTTCCGCCACTGAATAAAAAATAAGAGGTAATTGCGACTTTTTATCTCACAATTCTGACTTTTTTTCTCAGAATTGCGATACAAACTCAAAAGGTTTTTTTACCTTTTAAAACGTCATAATTGAGAGATATAAACTCGCAATTCTGAGAAATAAAGTCAGAATTGCGTGATATAAACTCGCAATTGCGAGACAAAGTCGCAATTCTGAGAAATAAAGTCAGAACTGCGAGATATAAACTCACAATTCTGACTTTTTTTCTCGCAATTCTGACTTTTTTTCTCAGAATTGTGAGATATAAACTCGCAATTCTGAGAACATATCAGTCTTTTTCCCCCCTCAAAATTGGACTTTAACTCGCAATTGCGAGTTTATAACACGCAATTCTGACTTTATAACTCCCAATTGCGAGTTTATATCTCACAATTCTGAGAAATACAACGGGCTTCCATACAACTCAACCAGGTCCCCGGCTCAAATTTGTGATTTTTTTCTGAAGAAAGACAGACATGCACTGTATAGTAATGAAAGCCAAAATATTAAATGTCATGGATGAATATTTAGATCCAAGAGCCAAGGGGGTAAAAATTACTTCAGAAAGATGGCAGCATCATAATGTTATGTTTACATGGAGATTGGTAGGTCTGTTAGTAAAATCTGTTCACTTTAGCAATCTTTGTTGCATTGCCAATGGAGACCATTAAAAAAGGGGCAAACAGCACTTTTCAGGGTTTTTTTCTTCCAAGTTTGCATGCCTGTAAATCAAGAAGTATAAAAGATATCTTAATGCCCTTTTAGATATTGGGTCTTAACAAACTTTCCTTTTGGCATCTTCATTTTTAAGGCCCTATATGGTTCGGTTCCAGAGATATTGTAATTTTAAAATGGCTCCAGGAGTAAATTGTTAAAATGTACATATTTTAGTGGTCAAAAACCAAATGTGTGTCAATTTGCAAAAATATGATACTAAACAGAATATTAGATGCCATTGATGTATATTTACTGAGTAATCCACTATATTGTAGATGAGATTGAGACAATTTTCACCTGAGATATGGAGCCAGAATACAGGGTTGTAAAAATTACTTCAGAAAGATGGCAGCATCATGCTGAGATTGGTAGGTCTATTGACTTTAGCAATCTTTGTTGCATTATATGCCAGTGGTGACCATAGGAAAAAGCATTCTTGTGTTTTTTTCCAAAGTTTGCATGCCTGTAACTCAAGAGGTATTACATATATCTTAATGTCCTTTTAGATTCTGATTCTTAACAAACTTTCCTTTTGCTATCTTCATTTTTAAGGCCCTATATGGTTCAGTTCTAGAGATATGAAGATTTCAGTTTGGCTCCATGAGCAAATTGTTCAATTGTGCACATTTTCAGTGGGCAAAAACAAAATGTGGGTCACTTTCCATACAGATGATACTTTTTTCTTTTAAAGAGGAATGTCTGAAGAACAAATAATGTTGAAATTAGTTATGTAGCTCGTTTAATTCTGTCAAAACAACTGCATTGAACATACCTGTCTGAGTGTCATAACTATTCTTTTTCCAAAGTTTGCATGCCTATAACTCAAGAAATATTAAATATATCGCAATATGATTTTAGATTCTAGTTCTTAAACTTTTCTTTTGGAATCTTCATTTTCAAGGCCCTACATCATTCAGTCCCATCGTTTAGTGGCTAAAAAGCAAATGTTGGGCACTTTGTATACAGCTGATACTTATTGTATTTAAAGCAGAATGTCTGAAGAATAAGTAATGTTGAAACTAGGTATGTATCTTGAGATTCAGAGCCAACGAACGAAAACTCAAATCTACTTGCAAAAGCCACCTCAATGACTATGTGTAAACAAATCTCAAACTGATTTGAAAATTGGTTCTAAACAATCAAGAGAATTTTTCATGTTATGTCACTACTTTCAGTACTGCATAGAGAAAGGCATCACCTGTCTTAATGTAACTTCATAGACTGACATTTTACTAGGTATTATACTAGGCTGAGAATATGCAACCACATTTGGCACCAATCATTACACTCAGTGTATAGATGCCTAGTGTTCAGGGCCAAACTTGGTCCATATTTCAAATTTGGTTCAAATGTGGCTCGGGTACAGAGCATTTGGACTGGTATCAACCTGCCGACAAGCTTACACTTTTTGATGATGGGGAGATCAATCTACAAACGGCTTATTTATACTGTAGTTTACTTCTAGGTTACTTTTTTTGCATACTAAATTGAGATAGTAGAAAACATTTGATATTGAAAATACAAACTTAGCTTTAAAGAAAACCAGCGACTAAATTGAGAAGGCATAGAAATGCAATCTGTTTTCCTGTCTGCAAACTGTTCCAGTTCAAGACACCAGCACCACAACTCTTAATTACAAACCGAGGGGAAAAAATCAGAAAAAAAGTGACCTTGAACCAAAAGGCTAAAAGATACAGAAACCACCACCAATGAATAAATAAGCATCTGGGCATTTTTGCAACAAAGCCCATAAGAAAACCCTAAATTATTAGATTAAGAATGCCCTTCTTAATCTAATAATGAAAGTTAGGTTGAAAAAAAAGGTCCACTAACCTTAAATGGATAGTTCACCAAAAAATTAAAATTCTGTCAGCGTTTACTCACTCTCAAGTTTTTCCAAACCTGTATGAATTTTTGTCTTATGCTGAACACATAAGATGATATTTTTAAAAACGAAACCAAATAATTTCCGGTCCCCACTGACTTCCACAGTATTTTCACCATACCAAATCAATGTGGACTAGCGACTGTTTGGTTACCCCCATTCTTCAAAATACCTTCCTTCTATGTTCAACAGAAGAAAGAAATTCATACAGGTTTAGAACAGTTTGAGGGTGAGAAAATGATGACAGAATTTTCATTTTTGGGTGAACTATCCCTTTAAACTTGTCATTATATATATTTCCATTTAATTGCTTAATTGTTCCCTAAGTTCTGTTTGGCTTTGCAACAAAGTCCTTAGTAATCATTTCACCCAAAACAGGTCCATTAAGTCATCTGCTGGAATATAATGTAATGTCATTTAGCAGCACACAGGACGAGAAGAGCCAAACCTCATCACAGCAAGATCACTGGAACACGTCATTCTGTACTGTCGTGCTCAAGCTCAAGGTGGCACTCAAAATCAGTGAATCTAATCACCAGGAAAAAAAAACACTTTAAGAATGAACAAAGTGGCATTAATCAGTTTGGTGTTTGAAAAAAGTTCAAAAGCGCAAATGAAAATATTAGAAAGGACAACAAAATAGATTTGTTAGTGAAAAAATGTCTATACACAATACAAATTTTAGGTTGAAGTCAGTGAGTGCAATAACAATGATTTAGGACAAATAAAACATAATTTAATAGAAAAATATGTGAGTGGTGGCATGTGGCATGGCAGAATTTTGAGCAGCTTTCAGAGTCGTAGCAATGACAACGCCATACACTCATACAAAACAATGTGTTCAAATTTTAGGATGCTCTATGTTCTCTGCCAGACCCCCTCACATCTAACCCGTAAAAAGTGTTCATGCAATCAGCCCATGGACTATATTTACAGGTATTGTCAAGCAGGTACTGAAAGACTTCATTGTTAAGAGGAAAGAGAAGTTTGACTGCTACCAACTGCATGTGAAACCTCACAAGTTTCACATGATCTATGGCAAACTACAGTTCAAAGGCCTTAAAAGAAAGATATGTTGCACAGACACTGCATTGTATTGTTGTGGAACACCTATGCAATGTACACAAATAACAGCAAGTCAAGTCAAATCACCTTTATTTATATAGCACTTTTAACAATACAGATTGTGTCAAAGCAGCTTTACAGTATTAAATAGGAAAATAGTGTGTCAATAATGCAAAAGGACAATAGTAAACACTCAATTTTCAGTTAAAGGTAGTTCATCATTGAATTCAGTGATGTCATCATCCAGCTCAGTTCAGTTTAAATAGTATCTGTGCAATCAAGTCGACAATATCGCTGGGAAATAAGTGTCCCCAACTAAGCAAGCCAGAGGCGACAGCGGCAAGGAACCAAAACTCCATAGATGACAGAATGGAGAAAAAACCTTGGGAGAAACCAGGCTCAGTCGGGGGCCAGTCCTCCTCTGACCAGACGAACCAGCAGGTTGTTCCAGCAAAGTCAGATTGTGCGGAGGACTCATCTGGTTCCTGTGGTCTTATCTCGATGGCCGTGTAGGAGACAAGGTCTTCACTGGGGATCTGTCTCTGTGGCTCATCTAGTTGTTCTGGTCTCCGCTGACATTCAGGGCTGTCAAGGTCATCTCTAGGTCCTGATCCACCACCTGGTTTTTTCAGAATTTAGCAGTAAGAAATTACTCGTCATCCAGTTTTTTATATCGACTATGCATTCTGTGCATACTGCATCCGATTATGCACCAGTTTTTTAAATTGGAATGTTTCGCCAGGCCACGAAGAAATATAGAGCTGAGTATCATCAGTATAACAGTGAAAGCTAACACAATGTTTCCTGATGATATCTCCCAAGGGTAACATGTAAAGCGTGAAAAGTAACGGTCCAAGTACTGAGCCTTGAGGTACTCCATACTGCACTTGTGATCAATATGATACCTCTTCATGCACTGCTACGAATTGATCGCAGTCAGTTCTGGTCTCCGCTGACATTCAGGGCTGTCAAGGTCATCTCTAGGTCCTGATCCACCACCTGGGCTGGATCCGTACTGGATCCGGGTGACTGCAGTGA